TATCACTATTATTAGGAGTGATCGCCATCGTTTGACTAATAGCATTATCCCAGCACGGCATTATACTTCGAATAAAGTGCACTGCCGTACTGTGAGTTGTTCTCCAAATGTCAAAGGGTTCTATCAGCCCCTTGTCGAAGAACTTACGCCTTTTATTGAAAATTGCCGGACAGTGGCATAGCAAATGTTCCGAGTCTTCCTTTTCTATGCCACAGAAGCGACATACATCATCTTGAAGTTTTCCAATCAGCTTCAAGTGATAACGGCTCGGACAATGACCTGTAATAAGACCTGCATATATACTAAGATCTTTCTTAGAAAGTTCCAGGATTTTGTGGGTCACAGAAATGTTTGGATTAATAAATCGCTTCGACTGCCTAGCAATGGAAGTGTTCTTCCAGTTTTCCTCCACTTTTGAATATTCCCACGCTTTTAGCTCCATTGTAAGAGATGCAGCCGATAAGCCACAAAAGGGATCTGGCCCGATGAACTTATGAGAAGATCCGAGTCTTGCTAGTGCATCAGCTCTTTCATTTCCCTCAATCCCGCAATGACCAGGAACCCAATATAAGTTGACTTGATTATGAGAAGACAATTTTTGAAGTGATTGAACACACTCCCAGACAAGTTTTGATGTACATGTCGCCGACTTTAAAGCATTTAGAGCAGCTTGACTGTCGGACATGACGCATATATTTGAACTCTTATAGTTTCTACGCAAACATATAACGGAACACTCTAAAATTGCTTGGATTTCAGCTTGGAACACAGTTGGCCATCTGCCCATAGGAACCGATATTTCTATCCCTGGGCCAGTTACTCCTGCTCCCACTTGATTGTTCAATCTTGAAGCATCTGTATAAAAAACAATCGATCCTGGACGAAGAACCGGGCCACCAAATTGCCATGAATTACGCCCAGGGTCAACTACTCGAAAAAGCCGATTGAAATTGTATCTTTTCTCCATCCAGTCTTCGTTGTTCCTTACTAGAGAGTTGATACTAACAGTTTTTAGAATCGTAAGATGTCCTCTAAGGTCTCCTTCAAAGAGTTTCACTGACCTTGTAATCCTTAGAGCACACTTTTCGGCTTCTAATTGTACAAATTGATGCAATGGTAGCATATAAAGCAAAGCATCCAATGCCTTCGATAGTGTACTTCTCATTGCACCTGTTATTGATAGAGTTGCTAACCTTTGGAGTTTTTCTAACTTTCTCTGAACAACACTCTCTTTTGTTTTTGGCCACCAGACCAATCCACCATAAGTAATCCTGGGTTTCACAATTGCCGAGTAAATCCAATGGATCATTTTCGGTTTCAGTCCCCACTGTTTACCGAATGTTCTTTTGCATATCCATAGAGCATTAGTAGCTTTGTTTATTGCCTGCTCTAGGTGCATATTCCAATTAAGTTTACTATCGAGGATACTCCAAGATATTTGACAACATTAGAAAGTTCCAAAAGTGTGCCTTTCAATCTTATGTAGTCCAATAAAAATTTCTTCCTCCGGGTAAATGGCACGATAGTAGTTTTAGAAGGATTTATGTTTAATCCTTCCCTATCACACCACGATGAGACAAAATTTAAAGCAATTTGCATTCTGTTAGCGATAATACAATCATATTTGCCACGTACAATTATGACTATATAATCTGCGAAGCCAATTATTTCGAAGCCATGGGCTATTAAATTTTTGAGAAGATCATCAACTGTTAAAGACCACAATAGAGGTGATATTTAACACGCCTCCTTGCGGGCATCCTTTGGTTGCTCTTACACTGATGAGTGAGCTTCCAAGGTTTTCTGATATTTCTCTTTTTGATAAAATTTCATTGATCCAATTTACAATGCTTTGATCGAAACCACGTTTCATCATAGCTGTAGTCATTGAATCGTGAGATGAATTATCGAATGCACCTTCAATGTCAAGGAATGCAGCAAGTGAAATTTCTTTTGCTTCAAAAGATCTTTCTAGTTTTGTAACAACCGTATGGAGTGTTGTTACTGATGACTTACCTTCCTGGTATGCAAATTGATATTTGCTCAGAGGATTTGTGACTAAATATGATGACTTTATGTGTTCATCTATTATTTTTTCCATTATTTTTAGCAAAATAGACGATAAGCTTATTGGCCTGAAGGATTTTGGTGAAGTTTTATCCTTTTTATTAGCCTTGGGAATAAAAATAACCCGCACTTGTCGCCACACTGCCGGTATATAGCTTAATATTAAGCTTGCTCGAAATATCTTTGTTAGAATAGGCATTACAACCGCTTTTCCCTTCTGTAGTAGTACAGGAAAAATTCCATCCCTACCTGGTGAGTCAATCGCCCATTCAACTTTTCTTTCAGTGAAGATTTTGTTGGCCAAAGTGCAACCATCAGCTCTTGTTCTGTCTAACTCAGTCGTTTCATTCAATATTTCATGAATACCCGTCCTGGTTTCATCGATACCAATTGCTGTTGTCGTCACGTTTTGGTCTTCGTTTGAATTAATAATAGAACATGGAAAATGCGTTCTCATCATCAACTCTAACGTTTCATTTGTAGAAGTAGTAAAAGAGCCATCCTCTTTTTTTCAAAGTACCCAGACCATTGGAATGATCTTTAGCGAGTATTTTCTGCAACCTAGCAGTTGCTGGAGTATTTTCAATGTTCCCACATGTATGCCTCCAGTGTATCCTCTTTGATCTCCGTATTTCCTTATTATAGGCGGTGAGGGATTCCTTATATTGTTCCCACTGTTGTGTTCGTTTAGCCCTATTGAAAAGCTTCCGGGCTTTTTTACGAAGTTTCTGTAGCCTGTTGTTCCACCAAGGTACATCCCTGTTTGTAGAGCGTTCCTTTTCGATGCAACTCTCATAAAAGGCATGTTGGATCAAATTTGAAAGTTGTTTAGAACTATTCTCAAGTTCTTCTCAAGTGTTTAAGTTAATTGCTATCGTGTCTCTTCCTGCCACTAGCTCTGAATTATATAGCTCCCAGTCTGTTTTCCTAGGATCTCTAAAAGTTTGTGTGAGCTGTTCACCAGCCTCATATTCAAATAATATTTGCTTGTGATCAGACAAAGATATTTCGTCTGACACATGCCAATTTTTGATTTTGTCTGAGATTATTGGACTACATAAAGTCAAATCAAGAACTTCTTGTCTAATTGCATTTATAAATGTTGGAGCATCTCCTCTGTTACATATATCTATATCATTGTTAGAAATATAATCTAAAAGGTACTCACCTCTGGTATTGATGTCCGTGCTAGCCCATATTGTGTGATGAGCATTTGCATCACAGCCAATTATAAATGCCTTATTTTGTTTCTTGCAGTATGAAACAAACGCCGCTACTTCTGGTGGAGGTACATCTCCCAAGTCTCCTGGAAAGTATGCTGAAGCAATATATATTTCCGTTTTCCCGTGAGTTGTTGGAAACTCCATCAGGACCGCAACAATGTCTCTTTTTATAAATTCTGTAATAGGAACTAAATTTACTCTTCCATTTACTAAAATTGCAGCTCTTGGAGCTAATTGCCCTTCATCGTAAATTAACTTACAAGATTTTGTAGGAACTCCTAATATCCTACTTTTATTTGTCCATGGCTCCTGGATAAGGGCAGTGTCCAGTTTTCTCTTTGTGAACCTTTTACAAAGTACAGCAGTTGCTCCCTTTGTATGGTGAAGGTTCACTTGAACAAATTTGATTTTATTGTTGTTGAAGTTGTTGTTGTTCGCCGCTCGCATGGGGATTTAGTTCTTCCCAACATTGGTTTTGCGGTTCCCCTTATTTGGATTCTTTTCTGCTTGGATCCTAGTAATTTTGTATCCTGGCTTCAATCCTTGTTTTTGTGGTGTATTCTTTTCTTTTTTTGTCACCGACTGTATTTGTAGTGTAGCCAGGAGCATTACGGTTTGTTTTTTTGCTCTCGACACCACTGGGTCCTGGGATTTCGTCTATTTGATCTACGATCATCTTGTCATCGCCAGTGCCTACGTGGGTCTTTTGAGATTCACCATCATCCCTTTGCCCTGGTCTTTCACTACCATCATGTAGATTTCTCTTCTGAAACTTTTTTCTTATGTTGGCATTTCCAAACTTGAAATCAAGGATGAATTTACTGTTTTTGATGGAGTTCAAGGATCCTCCGTCGACAGTGAAAACTAGTTCTACATGTTGGTTTTTTACGTTGCGCTGCAGTATCCCCCATCGTTTTGACTTTCTAGGAGAGTCAGAATTTCTTCATTTTTGTCCTCTGAACTCCAAGGGAAGAAACCAATGAGTATTTCAGGACGCGGGATTTCCTTTTCATTCACTGCTAACAGCTCTGCCCCTGACCAGGGAGTTACTGTAGAAATAATGCTTTTTAGCCAGTCTTCAGTTTCTTTATTCTGATCGATACTGGAACCTTCAATCCCAGCATCAGCACGCTATAGCGAGTTGCTGTCGGTCTGCTCAACAACGCTTGTCGCTCATCTACTTCATAGAATTTTTTAATTAGCGTTGGCCGATCATCCGAAATAAAAAGATATGCTTCGAAACTGGCTATGACCGAAATTTCTCCGGCTAAGGCATAAGCTCTGAGAGATCTATCAGCGCGTTTTTGAAGATTGAATACAGAACCACTGTAATTTGATTCACTCGACGACAATACAAGTCGTAGAAATCGGCTGGTGGTCACCACATCAAGGTTGCTCGATTCAAAGAAAATTATCGATTTGAGAAAATATTGCATGCCCCATATCATTTATACTAGCCACTGTTTGTTAGTATCTAATGCATTGAACAAGGCAGAAACACATACCCACCAGGCACCGCACAATGCTAGTCTACATCACCACCAGGCATCAGCCTATTAGCTTTGAATCGTCACAGCATCAATTGAACTTTTCCGGTTGCATAGTTATGACTTCATCGTTTGTCACACACTCTGGCGTAGATGGCAACATGACAACGTCACTGGATTTAGAATTGAATCGTTTCGTCAAGAGGAGTAGCAGCAAAAATGCGTTATCTCAACAGTCTGTGGTTCAAGCTCAATCAGTGATGATCCATCATAAAAGGAGCATTGGTGATCTATCTGTACAATATGTCATTTTTATTTTGGGATAGAGCTGTCGATGCGGAAACTACACCGACGGGATACTAATTTGATAGTATTGAAAGATGTCGCAGTGATTGAATGATTCTGAAAACAGTATTTCATACCTATATTTTAAAATCTGAATTGTGATTGGAAAAAGTGATGGAAGAATGAACAACTTCTGTGTCTGAAATATGCAAGGGGAAAATGATCATTGAAGTGTGACACCCAGAATAATTCCATGAAAAAATAAAACACCGACCGAAGGATCAGCTTCGCCGGTTGGAAAATTTTACCGACAGAGAACTTCAATCCTTATTGGTGATGAAATAAACATTTTTATCGGCAAGCAGATACACGGATAAGTATCCCTTTTTGCGAGGGATCAGTGGGTGGCTCACAATCAGCAAATAGGACGAAAAGCGTGCAACGAGAACGGAGCCATCACATCATCGACGAGCTGTAGGTACCTACGGTTCTTTCTCGACAGAAGAGCATTATTGGTGAAGCGAGAATGGACGACATTAAGGCAGCTCTGGCAGATGCTGATCCATTTAGCAGCTGGTGGCCGTTCGTCATTTCCGGCATCGTGTTTCTGATCAGCACAATCAGGTTGGTTGGGGTGGAATGGATCAATAAGAGGTTCTGTGACGATAGGAGTGCTGAGGAAATGGTGATCTGTTTTCCTTTTGGATATGATTGGAAAATACACCTAGGGACAAGAGGTCCGTTTGGTTGAAACTGCAAATTATTATTATTTATCTTTATTAGGGAGGCTTTCAGCCTTGGGCTGGTTCGCCTCCACCAAAACTGAAAATACTGTTTTCGAGATTAAGTTGGGTATTATTAAATATTTTTCCCGTTTATGGGCAAATGGTTGGATTGTTATAAGATTCCGAACAAGAAAGCTGATGTATGTTGAGACAATTGTCAACTTTAGATTGTTCTTATTTTATTAACAGTAAAATCGTATCTACTTAAAAAAATACCATTATAGTTGCTACTGTGTGTTTGACAGAGAACCACATTTGATTTGCATTGAAGATGCAGTACATATTTTTACTGATTTAATCTATTTGTGGACAATTTTTTCAATGTGATGGCTAAATTTAATATGGCCACAACAAATTCTAAACATGCTCAGTGATAGCCCTTTCCAAATAACAATTTTAGCGGCAGACCGGTTTATACAGGCAAACCATGGCTTATGCAGCTAATTTGAGTTTGTATAAACTGTTATGTAGCTAAAACTGTTTCTTGTGTTATGTTTTCTGTTCGAATAGTATGCAAACATTAGGATTTTTGGGTAGGATAATAGATATCTTGATTTAAATCAGCAAAGCATTTTAGATCCTCGAAAAACCAGATGGCTGGTTTCATGGAAAATCTTGGTCATTAAAACATTATTGTTATCAACTAAAGTGTCTCATGGTCAGATCGTGTTGATGACTATTTATTGATGATCAAGGTAATGTGTACAAAGGTATTCACTAGTATCAAGATAATTATATAGAGGTATTAGGAATACAACATCCTCCTCCTTCTAATAAGCAATTGAAATAAAGAACAAAGAGTACTTTAACTATATTATCAAAATTAAGTAACAAAGTCCGAATATTTAGCTGGCACTCTGATTTCTCTTTTTGGTCGACCTTCACACGTTGCCACATTTGTAGGCTGCTGACGTACCTCCTTACTTGTCGTGTTGGTTTCATCGTTGTAGTTGTAGCTCGTCGCAGAAGATGCTCCATCGTTGTCTTGCTCATCGCGTTGCTTACTGTAACTGTATCTCTCAAAGACACGGTTTGTTGAGCATTCTCGTGCACTTTGATCAGGATAACTCATCTCGCCTTTTACTGGAACATGAACATTTATACCTGGTTTTACGTGCATAGCTTTTCTACGATTTGTTCCGCCGTCTTGTGTTTGCACTTCACATGAGTTGTCCGGTAGCTTCCTAAGAAGAGTAGCCTTTTTCTCAATATGGCATCACATCTGGTCTGCGTTGCACAAATACATTGTCGCCAACTTGCAATTCTGGTAGTTCCTTGCATCGCTTGTCATAGCTTGCTTTAGTCACTTGTCTTTTCTCTGTAATTCTTTCCTTTACTGTTGCAGACTTCGGTGGTTGCAGTTTATTTGTGATCCGAGGAATTTCACTTCGTGTGTCGCTTGAAAAGAGACGTTGATTTGGACTGGATCCAATGGCATTAGGAGTGTTCCGATGTTGCAATAAGGCCTTCCAAAAATCAGTACCACTCTTCGAGCACTTGCGGTATAATTGCTTAATAGCTTTGATGGCTGATTCAGACTTACCATTTACTTGAGCTCAATCTCTTCCGAATTCACTCCAGTCCGCATTGTCAAACTGCGGACCATTGTCCGTAACAACAATCTCTGGTGTCCCATGCCTCGCAAAGTGACGCTTGCATACTTGGATAACCGGTTGTGTCTTAGTATCATTCAGAAAATCTACCTCGATAAATTCGGAAAAGCTGTCAGCCATCACCAACATAGAGACTTTCTTCCCATCTTTCTAGACTTCACCGAGGTCTATATTCACGCGTTGAAATGGAAAATCGGGAATCTGATGTGTGCTCTTGCTTGACTGGCGCTGAACGTCATACACACTTCACAATTCTGTACATAGTTCGTAATTTGATCTGCCATTCCAGGCCAATACAGCGATTCGCGTGCTGCCCGAATCGTGTAATCAACGCCCAAGTGTACTGTGTGAAGTTTTCCTATAAACTGCTATCGAAGGCTCCTTGGCACCAATATACGGTCTGACTTAAAAATTACACCTTGATACAGCGACAGTTCGCTCTTGATTGTATGATACCTGTGTAAATCATCGTGCAATTCTTCTCTCCTCTCGGGCCAACCATCCATCAAAGTACGTACAAGTTTGCCAAGTATGTGATCCGGTTTCGTACACCCAACCGATTGATGTAAGATTCGCTTACAATTATCTGGGATTCATCATCAGAGGATGTAAGTGGAGACCGCATGAACCAAGGATGCGATATAGGGGAATTTACGTATTCTCGGCAACCTAAGCAGCGATCTTCTTTCTATAGCCTTTTTCTCTATGGAACGCACACATACGCTGTATTGGTTTGTTTACAATCTTTTGCTGCCAGCTGCTCTAACAATTTCAGTCGAAAGAATTGTCAAAAACTGTTTTGAAACGCTTTTACAAAGCTCCAATCTTCTCTAGTGAGAGCGAGTATTGTCGGCAACCAGTTTTTCTTGGGCAACCGTTCCATTTGAACTGCATGTAAATCTGCTGTTCTATTATCGGCAGCTCGAAATCAGCTACAATTTGTAGTGCGTGTGTTTCATTTCAAGAAAACCCTGCTAGATTGCTTTTTCTCAGTGGTAAAAATATAGTCAAATTGAAGCTAAAAGCATAAAGAATCGTTTGCATGCATTCAGCAAAGTGTTTTCGTAAGAAAATCCAGTGAAAATAGTGTTTCGATTTGGGTTGCCGAAAATAGTCTGTCATGCCGAAGCCGTCATTTCCCCTACCTAGCTGCGTTCCAATGCAAGAAAATTGGAGACCGAAAAATGTAGAGTGTATTAGTGAGGTAAATTTATTGTGTCGAAAAAAAAAATAGGCATTTGGTTGCCGACTGGACACGAACAACGAACGTTGCGATTATCAGACCTGTGCTTTCTCCACTGCTCTCTCCATGCTCCTGAATATGGATAGCCTAAAAGCAAACATCAAGCGCTCATTTTCTTGCATACTCGGCTTCGTATGCTTTTTCTGCTGGAGAGATTCGAGGCAAGTGTGTGCGTCGTTCTACAATGTTCTACAATGTGCGTCGTTCTACAAGCTTACTGGTATAGTCGAAAGCGTAGATAGAACACGAAATGAAAAAGACAAAAAACCATTACGGAACTAACATTCATTGTAATAGAGGCATTCGAGGCAAGTGTGTGCGTCGTTCTACAATGTTCTACAACGTGCGTCGTTCTACAATCTTACTGGTATAGTCGAAATATCCACGCTAACACGAAATAAAAAAAAGACAAAAAACCATTACATCGCATGCATGATCAATTCCTAACATTCGTTGCGATGTTCATGAACAGAGGATGATAGGAAACGGAACTAACATTTATTGTAATAGATTTTTGGTTTGCGTGTAGCATTAGCAATTAGCTTGAACTGAACCGCTCATCCGACATGTTAATATGATGTTGATGTGCGCTATATCCGCAAAAGCTGCATCTACTTTTTCAATCGCCAACGTTTCAGATTCCAACTCATTGGACGACGAGCCCGTAGCCGTCCTGAATAATAGGTCAGCAATATGCATCTCCACACCTTTCTTGTACTTAACCGTGATATGGTAGCGTTGAAGTGTCATCCTCATGCGTTGCAGTCTCAACGGAGCTTCAGTGATCGGTTTCACGAATATGTTTTTCAATGGTTTGTGGTCTGACTCTACTATCACTTGACGTCCGGCCACGTACTGGTCACCCAACTAACATTTTCAGCTTTGTAAGCCAACTTTTCCAGCGTTGTGCTGTAAAGTAGCTGAAAAGAAGCTGCAGATACAGCTACAAGCAAAAGCTAGCAAAATAGTGTTGGAGAGCGTTTACTCAACTTTCTCACAACCATTATTCAATTTGTCAGTCGCACTGAATAACATCAGCCAATAAACTCTAATGTCACTTCTATACACACACTAATCAACTTTCCACTTGTAGCTGCAAAACAAAGTTAACAAAGTGAATATATTACTCATTTGATGGCTTCTACACAACCAACCACTCTTGCTGAATAACATTAACATCAAAAGTGCTTTGTCAACAACTAAACAACCTGTACTCAGCTTATAAACTATGTTAGAGCTACTTCGGAAGCATTTTCACAGTCAACTAGGTTTATTTTTAGTCGTGTGCAGTTTTACAGCTTTTACTCTGCTCTTTTATAACTAGTCGAGAAAAGTGATTCATATGCACTATTATAAAGCCTCTACTCAGCGATTTTGTTGTAGAAGGGAATGTTGATTTGTTTTCATAAGTTCAAAGTGTTGGCGTAGCACAGTTGGTAGTGTCAAGGTTTGCCAATGAGCTCGTCTCGAGTTCGATTCCAGGTTCCGGTGCAGGGTAAATACTTTGGTAATGATTTGTAACTAATTTCGATGAATTTGATTCTCACAGCAAAATAAACTCAATAAATTCCTTCATAAAAAAGCGTAAACAGTATTTAACCCGGCTTCAAGAGAAAGCTGTGTAGTGATTATTGGATAACCGGGAAAAGGTTGAATAAGCGCCTTTCAAGTTCACACACAACTAAACATCAGGATAACAGCTGTATAGAAGCGTTAATGGATATGCAATAAGAGCTTCTTCCGACCGTTCCAACAGCCATAAGTAGCTGACTAAGTTCGCCAGATTTGCTTGTATAGAGGTTGAGTAAAGGTTTCCTCATATCGTATAACGTTTGAATACAGTTTGAGACTGTATAAATGAAATGAGTAAAGCGTTTACATTGTGAAAATTGTTAGTTGGGCAACCAGCTTACACGCAAATACTATCGCTAAGCAGTCGCGTTCGATCGGTGCATAGTTGCTCTCCGTTTTCGTTAATGTTCGTGACGCGTATGCTACAGGTCGTCCTTCTTGTAACAGGGCGCAAACCACAGCAAACTTGCTTGCATCACACTGTATGGTCAACCTCTTTGAGGCATCATAGTACCGCAGCACTGGAACTTGAGTTACTAAGCACTTGATCTGCTGAAACGCTTTCTCTGCTTCATTTTTCCCACACAAATTCACTGTTACCTTTTGGTTAATCTGCGTAATGGAGCGCTGATGTCCGCTAACTTCGGTAAAAACTTTCCCAGGAATGTCATTAACTCCTTCTTATTCCTTGGTGTTGGTATATTCAGTACAGCTGAAATCTTAGCAGGATCTGGTTTCACTCCTTTTTTTTCGTCAACACATGACCAAAAAAGGGTACCGACGACAGTGCAATCTTCACTTTTCCACGGTTTACCTTCAAGCCTCGCTCTCTGAATCGCTGCAATGTTGCCCTCAGATTGCAATTATGGTCTAACATGGCTACGACATCATCTGCTAGCCACCTGACTCCTTCGAGCCCTGAAATAAGCTGCTGTTGAACTTTTTGGTATATTTCTAGAGCGCAGGAAACTCCAAACGGCATCCTCTTCCATCTGTATACTCCCGTTGGCGTCCAAAACGCAGTGAGATCCGCGCTCTGTTCATCCAACTTCAAATGCCAAAATCCAATCTTAGCATCCAATACCGAAAAAACTTTGGTCTTCGTAAAATCAGGCAGCATTTCCTCCACCGTCGGAATCTGATGGTTTGCACGTTTAATGGCTTGGTTTAGCTCTGAGGGATCCAGACACAGTCGAAGCTTGTTTCCTCTTTTCACCAATACCAAATTGCTGATCCACTCCATATGTTTGCTTACTGGTTCGACAATCTGCTTGCTTGTCAGTTCTTCAATTTTTGCTTTCAGGTCGGGCAAGTATGCCAACGGAATCCGACGCGGCTTCTGTTGCACTGCTGCAACGAAGGGATCGATTTCAACTTTAAAAGTTCCTTGGAATAATCCTTCGCCCTTGAAAACATCACAGTATTTACTTAAAAAATGTTCACATTCCTTTTGTAGAGTGCTGACGTTGTATATGTCCTGGATCTTGATGATTCCTAGATCGATTGCAGCTTTCGACGACAGCAGTGGTGGGCAGACGATGAACGGCAGCAGTATCAAAATAATTATATAAAGGTATTAGGAATACAACAATTATAACAGTATTTTTGTTTGAGAAGTAGAGAAAATTTGCAAGAACATTGCGAAGACCTTACCAAGTCTTTTGGAATATTTTGAAAACTTTACTTTAGGGTGGTTCAAAACATAGATTTTCCTCCACCCAACCCAGCTCAACCGATTCTTAATCAGGTCCTCACCGTTTTACCAAAAGTTGAACTCATTTAGTTGGTTGGTACTCTCATGCCCAGGGAAGTTGAGAAATTTTCAACTTGAAAAATGCTAGAAAATTGTTTCGCTTAGTTGTAGAATTTATCATCGCGTATACGCCCTTATGCATGCTCACTGTTGAGTTTATCTATAAAGCACAATCATATAGGTGCTTAACACATATCCAACGAATCACGACCAGGATATGAATATTCAAAGAAATTCTGGTTCTTTGACCCCCAAAGTGGCTCACTCAAAAACAGATTTCGGTGGAATCCACTCCGCTTTATTGAGCTTAGTACAGTTCATCTACCTAATCGAATTATGCTAATCGCGCTTCTGCATGACCGCACCCGAAAATAAAAACTTTTCCAGTTTCAGTTCTTTTCTCATTTTTTTTTCCTTTCTCGTTCTACTGCGTGTGTTTCCGCAGGATGTACATGGGCGGTCAGGTTTGTCCCAACACGAATTTGGTCCGAGACCAGGTGATTATCGTAACCGGAGCCAGCGGCGGCATCGGGAAGGAACTTTGCAAAGAGTTGGTACGCCGGTCGGCCCACGTCATCATGGCATGCCGGGATCTGGAGAAAGGCGACCAAGCACGCCAATCAATCATCCGTGAAATTCCGGGTGCCTCGTTGGAGCTGGTCTCGCTGGATTTACGGTCGTTCGACTGTGTGCGACGGTTCGTGCGAGAGGTTGAATCGCAGCACGGACAGGTTGACGTGCTTATCAACAACGCCGGCATCATATTTCATCCCGAAGGGAGCACCACCGATGGATTCGAATTGCATTTGCAGTGTAATTATTTAGGTATTGGTTGGGATGGTTTGGTAACTGTTTGAATCGTGTGACTGATGGAAATTGCATTCAATTACGAACCGGATATCGAACTGGATTGAATCGTGTCTAATTGTGTATCTTATGTGAGAGATTTTTGTCTCGGAAGTTGTCGGCAGAAAAGCCGCTGCAAAGCCGATTATATTCTCTGTATTAGACATTTGAATCATTTGCTTGAGGAACTGCATCGGATGGACTTATGTGGTTTGTCTAACAAATGTATGATTTGTCCTCCGTGAAGTAACCTGGTTTTGTCTTGGACCTCATATAAAAAGACTTGACACATAAAAAACATGGAAAATCTGAAGAAAAAAATGAATGCTCAGAATCACACTGGCCACATCCGGACATGTTTCGAGTACCCCGGCGAAGTAACTAGTTTCTGACTTGGACCAAAATCCATTATGTGACACCTCATATCACAGGATAATTTGAAAATATGTTCAATTGTACACTTAAAATAATCCTCACACCAATGCTACGTGAAAACACACATAGATTTTTTCCATCGCATTTTTCACGTAAGATTTACGTTATTCTCATATGGAAGTACTCAATTCAGTGAGCTTCATCGTCACTGGATTATCACGTAGAAGTTACGTGATTCCTCCGATAAAATGCATAGTGATTCCAACTGATTATTTAATTCCGATTCGATTTAAATAAAATTTATTCTTTATTTCTTAATAGACATACATAAATAGACAAAAAAAAAAAAACACATTGGCATTCAACATATAATGAAATAAAATTCGAAGGAGACAAGAACACTAACAAAAATGCATCGGCTTAAAACTTCCACTTGACTTGAAGCTCGATTTAAAGTTCATACATGATGGTCCTTGTCGTCATACTAAAAAAGGAACAAACTAAATTAATCTCCTTTAATTAATTATACTTACAACTCGAAATTGTCTCAGTAAAGACCAAACCAATCTGGATTTTAAATGGCATGTAAACATGCACAATGAACTAGCGCCATATTGTATAGCACTATGAGTGAATCACTCATTTATTTTTTCAGACGTGAAAATCACTTAGGGTTTACGTGAAACGAATCTGTGTATGTGTAATTCACGTGAATGTCATTAAAAAATCTGACGATTTCGAAAGGAGTTTCGGTTCATATATAAGTGGTATCATCATAGAGGTAACTCTAAGACTAGACTTCGGTCCCAAGCTAATCGATTCACCCCTCGAAACATAGGAAAAACCAATAACCCCTCATTTTACCTGTCAAACTTTCATAGCGAATCAAAACAAACATTGCGTAGTACTAGAATTTCGACTAGAATGGGGTACGTTAATCGTTTGCTTGGGACCAATAGGCTAGTCAAGTAGTGAGCCAATTTAAAATCGTTAGTTTCGTATTGATTGTTGGTATCATGTAGAGTTTACTTGGGCCACCTAAAATTAACAGCAAAGGAAAATTAGATACCCTACGTGATTTTTCACGTAACAACAACGTGTCGATTATTTTGAGTGCAGTCATTTCGAGAGCCACATCCGGTCGTTTTCCGGGTAAAATGCTACACGGCGAATGAGAACGACTCAAATTTGAGTTTAGTTCACTCATAATCGCCAAAAGTGCAGGAACTCAGCGATGAGCAAAATTTGTCCCATGGTTTCCTGTGGAAAACCTAAAAAATCTGCCGGAAAATGAGGAAATTGACGAAAATTTTATTCAGTCTCGGAGTAGTACCAATAGACTGAGTGAATCCAATCTTTACTCTTCTCAAATTCGGGAATTTTTCCCTGGAAAATCCTGGAAAAACCTGGGAAAACATGAGGCAAATTAACTCATCGCTGAGTTCCTGCACTTTTGGCGATTATGAGTGAACTAAACTCAAATTTGAGTCGTTCTCATTCGCCGTGTAACTTTTAATTGGCGCACACAACTGCACAATTTAAATCAAACGAGTGAGAGCAAGAGGGAAACAGATTACTGGACAAACAAACCGTCTATTCATCCATATGTGCTAGATGGAGAAAGGCATTTAAACGTTATAAAGGTCTATATTGAATGTATGGACGGACGTTGTTAAAAGCTGTTCTAAGCGAACTGTCAAAATTTTTCAGTGTTCTGGATTCAGTCGTCCCCACTTGTAGCAACCGGTGCGCAATGTGGGCGGAAGCGGAACGGAAACGGATAGTTTGACAGTTGTCACAAATGACAACAAGATGCCTAGCCGAAGTCGATTTGATTCTAATAGTTTTTAATCTGACAAGTAAGCTTACTCAGATCGGGCTTTTCCACTGCCACTGCCGTTCCGCTTCCGCTGTCATTGCGCTTGGGCCTTAACGATTATAAATTATAAAGTTTGACAGATAGAATGAAGGAACTTTCCTATGTTTTGAGGGGTGCATCGATTAGCATGGAACCAAAGATAGTACCAGAGCTGAGCCAAAAAGTTGAGCACGTTTCTTCGGGACCTTCTGGTCTGAGTTACCTCTATGCTTTTACCATAGAGGTAACTCAGACCAGAAAGTCCCGAAGAAACGTGCTCAACTTTTTGGCTCAGCTCTGGTACTCTCTTCGGTCCCAAGCTAATCGATGCACCCCTAAGGTCCGGACCAACAGGCAGCTTGCTGGTGTTAGAAGCAAAAATATTGTAAACATTGCAGAGCACTCAAGTACGGTGTCCAGCGGTGGCACGAGTTCTGGAGTTTAACATTTTTTCCTTAACATTTGATACTTTTTGCGATAACCATTTTGACGACACACAAAAACAAACTGGCAAGCGACAAAAATGTCATGACATTTCTAAACTGTTTTCTGCCAGCGACAGAACATTTTCGCACAATGAAGCAGACAAGACCGGCGGCGCGCGCGACATAAATTTATGTCGTGTAGAATTTTGCTGATTTCTGGCTAATTACTGCATTTATTTGATGTTTATTGCATGGAATTAAAAGATAAGAATGAAGACTGACCACTCATAAGCATTGATGTTAAAGTTATGCGTAAATAAGGGAGTTGATAATTTACTGTCACACGCAAGCCTGCAGCTAAAATTTCATTACAATAATCTGTTTGGAAAAATCAGGCTGCGAGATTTTATTTATTCTCTATCTCCGCTGTTCGCTTGGAATGTAGTTATAAACGGCCGCCCGTGTGCTGGCTGTTTTGTTTCACTCTGGACGATGGTTTTTCAAAAAATGTACTGTTGCCACCTCTGACGGTGTCACTCTACCATAACATTCCATACTGCGAACAGTGAGATTTACGTCACTGTCAACAGCTGTTTCGTGTAAAAGATAAGCAATGAAATACGAACACCACTAAACATTTCTAGATAGAGCTGGAATTAGGGCGTAACAGCCTTTGTAAACAATGACTTCTCTCGTGGATTTCTCGGAATTCAAGGCACGCCTACACAAAACAACATATCCATCGGGTAGGAGTAGCCTTTCTCTACTCGATGGTGATGTCGGTTTGCCAGGGAAAGCTATGGCTTCCGAGAAATCATCGAGAGAAGTCATTGTTTACAAAACCTGTTACGCCCTAATTCCAGCTCTATCCACTTCTATCTAGTCAAGATGACAGGTAAAAGCAAACCGTTTGAAAGGAAATTATGCACCGTGGACCCCCGGTAATGTGACCGTTTTTAATATGGACACTTTTTAATTTGAACCAAGCTAATCTGCACGCCGTGCAAACTAAAAATTGCTCAAACGTCATTCAAAATAGTAAAAAAGGCTACCAGAAACATGATTTTCTGATGCTGATAGGGTTACTACAAATGCAAATTAAATATGATCCCCGCTAATATGCATGAAGTGTTGTTCAGATTAGCGGGGGCCCACGGTATTCGCGCCGTCTGGTGAATGAATTGTGAACTGACCTGTTAACCATAACATAGGTTTATCACCCGCAAACCGACATGAATGACCATAGAAATTATCACGAAATTTCTGCTCAAAGCACACTACGCGGAAAACGTTTATCTAAGCCGTGAACACGAGTGCAAAATGTATTGATTGGTTCGTGTCTGATCTATTCTGGAGTTATTTTTACATTTGAATCGGCCGTTATAGATTTTCAAGCGAAAATTAAGTTTAAGTTTAATGTCGGTTTGTCGCTGGGTTTATTCCATCTGATCAACTTTGCCCAAGGAAGAAATCTAGGCGAGCTGTCATTTCACATGTGACTCTTGAAGAGACGTTTTGTGCTACAATTTGATGAAAAATTACATAGGGTAGAGAACTACTTCGGCCTAATCATCCATTTTGGGCCTATCGTGCAGAAAACATAAAATAATTCCATGATTTCTGAGTTAACAAGTCAATTATGAGTTTGGTACGATACTTTAGTTAATAAGGTACTAAACGAAGTCTATGAGAACGCGTGATATGAAGGTTTGCACCCATAATTTACAAAAAACAAAAGAAGCGCTCCGACCGAATAAATTTTTATCTTCTTCCGATAGGCCGAAGTGAATTCATTTGAGTTTCAATGGCGTTTCAATGCGTTAGGCCGAGTTTAGAATCCGTAGGCCGAGTTTGGCGTCAAGAAGCAGTGTTAGACTTTTGACAATATCTCAACGATTGGTTCCTCTTTATCAAATCTTACGGTGCGTACAGAAAGGTAAATAAATTTGGAAGCCATCAGTAATAATAACATTCCGTTTGGTGCTAAACTGCGCTAGATCAAGAAAGACTAAGTGCGGGTTGTGCTTAATAGGCTGAAAATGGGGTAGTTAACCTTAGACGCCATTTTGAAAAAATACAACTTCCAAAATGGCCGAGTTTTTGTAAAAATGTGACGGATTGCGCATAGTACACAATTATGCAAAGTTTTATGCAAATCGGAGAAGGTCAAGTTTTTCTGATGCGTCATTTGGCGTGGAACTGCTCTAAAATGTTTCAAAAAAAAAACATATGAATACTTGACTAACACAATTTATAACAAATTGCCCACAATTATCGCTTTTTAACTCATCAATTCCTGCAACCCGCGCTAACAACAATGACACAGCATATGTTTTCATGAGTGTAATTATTTCGCGCCACCAACGAAACGCTCAATTAATCACGATTATTTTCCTTTTTTTTTTTCTACATTTCGACTTTGTACCGAACCGTTGTACCCGGGCGTGCGAGAGCAATTTGTATCAATTTTACACTTCTCTGACTCTAAAAACCCACCAGCGTGTGTCCCGTTTCTGATGACTGTTTTTCAATGTTGTTTTGTCTCTGTTTTTTTTTTCCCGGGGATGTTTGGTCCATCTCGTTTTTTTTCTTATTTTTAGGACACTTTTTGCTAACTCAGTTGCTGTTGCCACTGCTCGAGAGGGCTCCGCAAGGACGGGTAATTAATGTGTCCGCCCATGGATACACGGCTGGCAAGATGAACATCGAGGATCCGTTGAACATTGGCAGCTGGGCGCCCGGATTCCACTCGAGAGATGCATTCTCGCACTCGAAACTGGCGATTGTGTTGGCCACCCGTGCCCTGGCCGGACGACTGAGAAAGGGTAAGAAGATTTATCGGCAAACTGATTGTGGCTTGATGCGCATATTTCTTGCTAGGATTTATGTACCGGGGGTCTTAATGGTCAGCTGCAGCATCCAAAGCTTTTTTTTGGAATGTGATGCGGTTTTCAGATTCCTTGCTTGAAGTAGGGTTATCAAGGGTAGATGTACCAGTAGGGTGCTTAATTTTGAAATAAAGTATTTGAACTCTTACAGGCCACACTCCAGTTTGATTTCTAACCTCATAATATGAGTCTACTCAAAACATGGTAGATATTGATAAAGGTTTAGAGATCGCACAAAAGTTTGTATGGGGATTACTAAAGAAGCAGTTTAAATATCTCTACATACTATCGCTAATAACTTACGTAACGGTCGGTTTGATAGCAATTCAAGAAAGATCAAAATGTGAAAAAAAAACTCACGATTTCATCACAAAACCACAACTACAGGCTTGTCATAATAACTACTAATAACAACATATTAATTTTTGACAGTATTCTGATTACTTGAGTAGTGAAATTCAAAAATTTCCCATAGCAATTCGCCATAATCTCCATAAAAACTTCAAACTTTGTATGCGACTTCTACACCTTCATCACCTCTACCATTTTTGGCAAAGGCTAATATTTTGGAGATATGAATCAAACTAGATGGTGGCCCATTAGATTATAATAACTTTTTTTTTCAAAATCAGGTACCCTATTACCACAAACGAAGTGACAGACGACTAACTGGCGAAGAAATCAATTAAAATAATGTGGTTCGCTGTAATAGAATTATCTTAGAAGCTTGTGCCATCAGCCACCAGATGGGCTAGTATTTTTTTTTATTTGAACATAGTTGATTTTGTGTGCAATATGCTCTTTGACAGTGTGCGAAGCTCGGTGCGAAGAGTGTATCATTTTGTCATTTTTTTATGCATTTCAGTTTAGAGTAGAGTGAAAGAGATAGAACCAAAACATTCTAGTAAATTTAGTGTTGCCATGTGGTACAATCCATTAGTAGTGTTGCCATGTGGTACAAGCCAGTAGTAGTGGTGTTGCCATGTGGTACACTGAAAAATTGCAATAGCAGGTGCGTCACCAAAGTTTTCGAGCCGCTCCGTCTGTCACTTCGTTTGTGCTATTACGCTATTACGTTCTCATTAGGGAATTCCCATGTTCCCAAAATTGGAAGTTCTAACTATTCTTTTTGTTCATTTGATCCTATCCGTTCGTTAAAAACTACCTGGGTGAATTTAATATCTGTACTTAAGAGCGATACATTAAGTCCAACATCAAAATGATAGCAAATCGAAATTAAATTTGGATGCCAACATCAAATTGAAAAAAAAAAAAAATATTTCAGCTTACGATTGACAAATATGAGATCAAATTTTGTCTTCATTTTGCTATTCTTTTGATCCACATCTAAGTTTCCTGTATTTTTTTGTTTCCAATAGTGTCTTTTTATCGAGGGGGCGACACATCTAAGTCTCAATTCTAGATGCTCAAAAAATCTCACACTAGCGAATCAATCTTCGAAAAATCATCTTTCATTTCCCGCATCTACTTGCATCGTGCTTCATCTTTTTGCAGGAAATCTTCAAAATCGACATAAATCTTCCTTTTATCTACTCAGCGTGCGCGCAGCTAGTCACAGCAAAACACAATCTTTTCTGCATCGTAGATAGAGTCGTCCCCCTCGCTTTTTACAGCAAATCAACAACTGGAAATGTTGTTGCGGTTTTGCGGTTTTGTTTTTGTTGCCTTTGAAGAACATCAAATTGCATACCGTAGACCCCCGTTAATCTGAACAACACTTCGTGCATTAACGGGTTTCATTTTTAATTTTAACTTTTAGTAACCCTATGACCATCAGAAAAGCGAGTTCCTGGTTGCCTTATTACAAATCTATAAATTAACAATATGGTCCACTTCCAGAATTCCCATATGTTTCTGAAAAGACGTAACAGTAATATCCTCACCCGGTGAGAAAGGTAACTAAATCTATTCGTGGCATTATTATTTAAGCGTGTAATCAATGCATAAATATACTGAAATAATAGGTGCGGCTGGCTTGCTTTCTCATGCATTCTTACATGCGTACCCTGATGTCATGACATTACACTAACGGGTGTTCAATAAAAAATGATTTTTTTTTCAGTCACATAACTAGTAAATTTTTTTTTCAATGAATTCAGTGCTAACATTTGAAAACGGCACAAAAGCCATTTGTAAACAAATGGTTTGTGGGCCCTTTACTCACTACTTGAAATACACCCACGCGACACAACAGCAACATCGGGTAGGGGAAATTTTCCCCTTCCTGACGATGCTATTGGTTTGCGTGGGCGTTCTTCGGGTAGCGAGTAAAGGGCCCACAAACCATTTGTTTACAAATGGCTTTTGCGCCGTTTTCAAATGTTAGCACTGAATTCAGTATTTTTTATTAAAAACATAATGTTTGTTCTTTAAAAAAAAACGTCAATGAATATTGGAGAAGGGGCCCTGGTCAGCCGTACGACGCAATTTAGTCGCGATGCTCTCACAAGAGCGCTGGACGGCACTGAAATCATTCTCATTTTTTATAGAACACCCGTTATGTTCATACTATAGTTGATATCGTTGATCGTTGCCAGATTGTTTTCAAGCTTATCGTTATCAAAGGTTTTCAAAAAATCGATATTTATCGATATTAACTTTTTTAATTAATTTTATATTTTTACTGTTTTCGAAGGCGAAAATTTAAACATTTGGACTAAGAAGTTAGGGGTATGCCTCTAAGATTTTTGAGGCTAAATAACCCAGTCCAAACCAATCCCAGATGAACTATCAATTTTCTAAGCTCACTCACAAGCCTTTCCAAGATCTTGCAAAAGCTTGTGGACGTTTGTGAAGGATGCACACACTTTGTAAAGGGATGTTTCGTATTGTGACTTGGACTGTTTTTCTATGGCTTGGAACATCTTAGACTCATACCCCTATTTAAGACCGACCTTTCCAGGAAAGTCAGAATATTTAAATTAGCTTCTGAAGAAAGCCGAAAAAACTTCCAGAGAAAAAATAAAGAAGCTCCTCTGGAGGAATTTAAGGAAAGTTCTAGGGAAATTCAAAGAAAATTTTAGAAAAAATCAGATGACATATCCAGAGCAAAAATGTTTATGAAATCGGAAGAATATTCCAGGAGTGGCCATTTCCAGGGAAAGCTAGAAAAAGCTTGAAAAAACCTTCCAATAGAAGTCGGAAAAAATCCTCCGAAAGAAGCTCATGGAGAAACGGAAGACGAAATAAACTTTTGGGAGAATTCGATGATACTTCCGGTAGAAGTTTAAAGGGATTTCCTGGAAGGGATGACAAAAGCTAGAAGGTTTTCGGAACAGTCTATATAAACTTCTAAGAGATGTTGGGATAAAAATTGAGAAAACAAGAGATTTTCAGGAGATGTTGAAAGAAATTTCTGGTGAAAATCGGTAGCATCTTTAAAGGAAAGTTAGCACAATATTCCGAGAATGATGAAAAAAAACTAGAGCGAGAACACGGAAGAACCTTTCGAGCGAAGAAACTATCGAGAAAAATCGAAATAACTTACCGGAAGAATTTGGAAAATATCGTACGGACTATGGTGGAAGAAAATTCCAAGGGAAAGTTTTATGAAACTTCTGAGAAAAGATATGTAATTGTATCGCGGTTAGTTTAGTTTTCGTATTTATGTTGGTAAAACAAATCAGGAAAATGTGTGTGTTGTATCTTTTCAACTCTCAGCTAGCCACCCTATTCGCAAGTAGCCACACCAAAGAAGTTCCGTTACCCACCATCTGATGCCAATGGCTTGGCAAAAGTCCATAGCTGCTGGATCAAATAAGTAGGTGATAGGGGAAATGGCTCTCATGTTGGCCTATGGATCTAAGATTGGGCCCATCGCTAAAAATCTGCTATTTATCAATTTTATCTAGATGAACGCATCATTGGGACGGTAATAATGGATATTTTTGGTCGCTATTGAAAATTTAGCCGATTGCTGAATTTATTTATGGACCCAAATTAGGAGCCGACACTACATCCATTCCCCTTATATATTATTAAATGTGTGCTGTAATGAATGTTCTGTGCTGTGGAAGGAGTAGACAACAAAAGGACAACCAGGACCCCGTAGTGTCCCATTACTTTACATACGGTTTGGTCAATCCCGAATAAGGACCGCAGAGCCGATTTCGTAATCCGGTACCCTAAACGAACGTCATCAACCACCGTTAGACTCGCCGTTAGATACCACAGAGACACTAGTCCATGTTCGTCGCCATCTTGGTTAGCCTTGAGCGTCGCAGAATAATGAGTAGTACGCGAACGACTCGGAAAACGGTGCAACTAATAGCGTCATAACGAAGCCGGAACCGAAGGAAAGGAAGGCGAAGACAGCAGCAAGTGTGGTAGCGGAACGAAGAAGGGGCCCCAACAGACAGTAGAATTGGCTGTTCATTAACTACGTAGCCAATTATCCACGGCCCATAAAATTTTAAAAATTGTGTATGGACAATTGTCTACGTAGGGAGAGGCTGGGGGGGGGCAAGAATAAAAAAAAAACTGTCTACGTAGTTAATGAACAGCTCCAAAGTGAAGAAAGCAGGTCAGATTAGCATAGGAAAGTGGGTGGAGAATACATGTACTTTGAAGTTTAAATGGCAGTCCGAGCATTCTCCTGATCCGCGGAATAGTAAGGGATAAGCGTGCAAACCTAGAGATTAGTGATCAAAAGCAGAGTCTCAATAGCCTCTGTGAAAAGAGTCACCCTTTGTGATACTCCCCTGTCATGTAGTGTAGGCCAGTCTGCCATTTATTACAGATTAAATAAACTTCAGAAAGTTAAAAAAAATATTCTGGTGGTCTTTTTTGGTGACCTTAAAGACACAAATATTTCCCGATTCGCAGGAATTACCGAGATGAACCATTATCTGTTTCTCGATTTCTGGGCAGCCAAACACGGCGAGGAAATGGAAACACTAGTCGAGTATCAAGCATAAGCGAGCATGCATTAAGTACGTCATGTAATTTTAGGGAAAACCAACTCCTCCTCCTCCCTCTTTTTGTCACGTTTTTCCCATACCTAATATATTCCCAACAAACAATTTGAGCTATTTAAAAGCTGAATAAGCTACTTTTTAGTTGAAGGAGCATATGTTTGGCTGAATAAGTCCTTATTCAGCTTTCAATGTTAGGTGGGTTGCTTGTCACACATTTTTAAACCCCGGTATCTGGAGGAGCCTTATCTGTATATCTGTATCTAGTTTGGCCATCCAGAAACTGCGCAAACGATCGACCCATTGCGTTTAAAAAAAAATAGGAAAGTGCGGTTTTAGAACAAATTGCAAATTAACTCAGTCGCTGTCCCATACAAAAATACAATCATGAATTAGACACATTAGAACACCTTTATGTAGTCACCTTGGTTTAAATCAGTGATGGCCAAAGTGTGGCCCACAGGACGCACGTATTGCTTGGATCTCTATAGCGCCCATTACATATGTCAATATATTGACAAACATCGTATTGTCAATTTTCCTTACAATATAATCAATATATAAATATTGACAACATTAATGACAATACACTAAAGCGTTTGTTACTCAGGTCAATATATTGACAAAAAATTGACATACTGACAATATTATTGAAAGATAATATTGATGACGATGGTTTGATGACGAGTATTGTTGAAAACTGATTTTCATTTCACTTTCTCAATATTCTTCCCCCACCCAAGAGGAGGGAGAACGTACGTCATTTAAACCGACTGACTCACAATGCACCTTCACGCATGCAGTGTTGGCATTTTGTTTAAATCTTCGTGTGTGATATAAAATGGATATCAAACTAAATAAAAAAAGTTTCCTTTTACAGTCGCCAATCACTACCCAGGCTTCGTCTATATCGATGTTCATTTTCTACAAAATCACAAGCATAATCATGTAATTTTGTTTTTTTTTTACTTTAAAATAAAATTAATACTATCTGCGTTTCACATGTAACGCAAATTCAATAATATATGCAAGTTTTTCCTTTAGGAATGTTTACCAAAACATCAGCATAATAGTTTATGTATGGGAAACTGCATACCATGAACGTGGGTTATTCAACACGAGTGGTAATTCCACGCAGTCGACAATCGAGTTGATTCAATTCCATTAATTTGTTATCATGTTGTCCTGTGTATTTTCTGTGTCCTGTCAAAAAATTACAACATTTGATATTGGCGTTGACGGAACCGTCGAGAAATCATATCTTCTAACAAACATTGACAGTTTCTTATTGGAACTTTCAGTGGAGTGAAAGGATAGTACCAACTAGAAATGCTCAGAGGGTGTGATAGGCGGAGAAAACAAAATACAATACGGCAGCAAGGATTTGTTCCTTAATTATCTTGCAACCCTTGCTAGAAGCTAGCATTTCAAATGACTTTTATTTTTGATTCGATTTACATGCAAAATAATAATTGATTGCATCGCAATATTTTGCACATTTCTTGGTGCCATTCATTAACCAACGAAGATCATTTTGTATTGTTTTTGGTTCCAAAACCTAGTTGAATTTGAGAAGCACACAAAACATAAAGGGGATTGAATTTCTGTTCGATTGCAATACTTTCAAATTTATTCTAAAAAGAATAAGAAATCCTCGGAAAAATTCTAATGGGAATGTTCGATTGGCTCAGATTTTGACAGTTTATTTGGCTCAAAACATTCTCTCCGCCCATCTCTTCCTCTGAGTATTTCTAGTACCAACCAATTCAACAATTTTGAAATTTATTACGAAATGGTACGGACCTATTTGAAACCGTTCAATGATAATGTGTCGATTTTATTGTTTTCTTACGAGTGATGGTAATTTGAAATTTACCGACTTTTTCAGTAGTTCAAAAACCGGGTAAAATTTTACCGACTCAGGTTATCCGAATTCAGTGTGTAGTTAGTATTTTCTACACTCAAAAAATAAATCACATTTCCAATGGAAAATATCCATTAGAATTTCACTTAACTTTCATGTGATCTCATAATTGGGAATCGCATCACAAAACCACATGAACCTTATGTGTCCAATGAAGTTTATGTGATTTGTCATATACAATTCATGTGATCGTATGAACGTTATTTGAATTTCAGATAAAAATCATTAATTTTGTTATTGGAAAAATATCATGTGCGTTCCCAATGGAAACTATATGAAAACTTTTTCAGTGCATAGGTCCAGTAAGGACGTTTCTCTTTTGACCCGCTGATCCATGTTTCTTGTGTGGGGAAATTAAGAAAGTAATATTGACTTTAATACATTGAGGTTAAAAGGCTTCAAACGTATTGCCATTGATGTTGTCAATATTCGTATATTGATGATATTGATAGAATTGACTGTTTTTTTTTGTCAATATATTCTGAGTATTGACAAAGTGAAATGAAAATCAGTTTTTCGTCAATACTTGTCATCAATCATCATCATCAATATCACCTTTTCAATAATATTGTCAGTATGTCAATTTATTGTCAATATATTGACATGTGTAATGGACGCTTATGATGCAACAACTTCAGCTTGAATTTATTTTGACGTAGGACTATGTCTTTGTTTTCTATATGGGGGACACTTTGCGAGTACGAAAAATGAGCATGTAACGAAAGGGTCAGGTTTAGAACGCATAGGTATATCTCCAAAGCATTAGTGTGAAATATGTCATGCAATATGCCATTCGACGGGGGCTTACTCCACCAATTTTGTGGCATATAGTACAAATAGTGCAAATAGTTAAACAACTAAGAAATTTAACTAAAATTTGTGCCATCCAAATTTCCTATACACTTGCTTACACCATAAGGTGAATTTCCTAACAAAAACATCACATAGAAAAACATCACATTACACTCAAACGAATCAAGCCGTTGCCGCATTCCCTTTCGAACTTCAGACGTGTTCGAAAGGCTCCAAAAGCAGCTTGCTGCCAAGGCTACCTGCAAGAGCGCTCTAGACAGAGTAGCAGTGATGAAGCCACACTGTCACTGTTTGGGTACAGTTGCTCATCGTGAGAAAGCATTGTGGACCACCGTCATCAAGCACGTTATCGTCATGTCGAAGCTCACCCAAGCTCAAACTAGCTCACCGTATCCGTGGAGGTCTCAGAATTCTTAAAAAATATGTTGCTGCAGTTTCGTTTTCATTTTCTTAGCAGAACATCACATTGAATACTAATTTTGTTATCAACATGAAAAGTGTACATTAAATTGAGTTTTCAGTTTGCTCTCACTGATAGCAGAATTATTTTTTAATTTGATGTCAAAGGAAGATTTCATACTCTCAATTTTGAATATTTTAACCGTTAAAACGACCAAAACGGCAGTAACCTGAGCAATCATTATTAGCTATATCACAACATCAAATTTAGTATTCAATTTGATCTCAGACTTTGCTCGGGTCCATTCGTCTACCTTCGTCAAGTTTTTCCTATATCTTTTAAAATGCTTGTCACATAATTCTAAACTCCCCTTTTCCTCTTACAGAAATGTAATAAATGGAGCGCCCCTTTTTATATATTATCTCAGATATAATTTTAGTGAGGATCCTTTTTCAGAAGAAAGGCGCAACAATGGCGGTTACAATCGCTGAACTTTTGAACGAACTACCCGTGCAAAGTCTGAGATCAATTGAAAACTAAATTTGATGAAGTGATGTCGCTGATAATGATTACTCAGGTTGCTGTCGTTTTGGTCGTTTTTAACGGTTAAAATATCAAAATTGAGCGCATAAAAATCTTCCCGTGACATCACATTGAAAACTAATTTTGCTCTCAGTGAGAGCAATCTGAAAACTCAACTTGATGAACATTTTTCCTGTTAATGGCAAAACGAGTATTCAATTTGATCTTCTACTAAGGCGATGAAAAAAATCTGCAACATCATATTTTGCGGAGCCGTAATGCGATGTAGGTATATTAATACTATTATTTATAACTAAAGTTAGAATTTGAAAAACAGGTTGGACGTAGACTTGGGACAAGGTTGCAACAACATATTTTTAAACAGCAAAATAAAAACAAATTTTTTTATCAAATTTGTCAATCGCGTAAACTGAAATCAAATTATGATGTCAATTTGATGTTGATATCAAAATTTGATTTCGATTTGCTATCATTTGAACTTTGCTCGGGTATGGCGTTTGGATTTCCTTCCACCCACTATCCAGTACGAGGAATCTAGCAAACCAACCATGCGCTTCCACCTTTTCCATTGACTTACCATTAACAAAGGCCACTAGACTTTTCTCTTCCGATATCCGAGTGATGCATGTGTCTTATATTATATCCTTTTTGGCAGCTAAATCAAAAATAACGGTTAATGCGTGCAGCCCAGGTCTGGTACGGAGTACCGACCACCTACGACATTCGCCAATCATGAGGGCGTTGTTTGCCCGAGCCATTACTTACCCGTGGATGTGGTTGTTCATGAAGAGTCCCTATCAGGGAGCCCAAACAATGGTACGGTTGGCAACGGATCCAGAACTGAGCAAAACCTCGGGGGAATTTTTCAAGTGAGTATGAAGCAGAATTCGAATTGGTTTTCAGCTTAATAATACATTCTGCTGTTTTATGTCGTTAGCGATTGCGTTCAAATCGACGTTTCCGAAATGGCCAAGGATGATTTGCTGGTGGAGAAATTGTACAAAGAGAGCTTGAGAGCGCTGAAGTTGGAGTGATGGGTTTCTTTTGTTCTATTAGCAGAAAAGAGTCCTGTTTACTAGAGTAAGCTTTTATAAGAATTTAATTTACGACAAAATAAATCATCGTTTCGAATCAACAATGCCCCAATCGCCAGAAGGGTCTGACCGGTCAAAAAGCGGTGACAGAGCAAATACATTTCGGTTTTGTGTTTCATTCTACGATCCAAATCATGCAGACAATGTCAACAAACTTAATAATGGTGACCGATTCCAAGGACGAATATAAGCTACCCGAACCGGGCATGTGAATTTTGTTCGCAGAAGACTGTAATCGAGATGGCGCGACGAGATGATAGAGAGTATGGTGGAATGCATCAAGGAATAGGGATCACAGAGCTGATTAATAATTGAATTGTCGACAAACAGATCAAAACGGAATTGAATTTTTACAGCGCTGTCGCTATCATTTTCGGATAGAAATGACACGATATTCTTTAACCTCATCTTTAACTAGGTTGCATATTGAAGATGAAAGCATTACCTAAATTGAGACTCTTTTTAATTTGTAGCCTAAGGGACTGAGTGTCGATGTCCGTCGGTTTATCGTGTACAACTTGAATTATTGATGGGTATTAGGCCACGGTGCACGGTCAAAATGATAGTCATAAAAATCGTCGGTAAGCGAATGAATAGAAAGGAAAATTTGATTTAAACTGTGTCAGAAAACAAATCAAGGAAAAAAAACATGGCAACACTACTACTCGATTGTACCAGAGACGATGTTAAATAAGATACGCGTGAAGGCTGAAACCAAAAGTTCCAATAGAACAGGCAAACGCGGTTCCAATGGAGCAATGTAAATAAATACGAGCATCTCACGAGAAAACGCGTTGGTAGTATTGAGATTGAAGTTGAAAATTATGTTTTTAGATTGAAATTGAAATGTAGCTGAAATATATTATATTAAATCAGTTTACAATCGACTTTCATCGAAACAACAATTCAATTATCAATATGGTAGATTACTTGCGCTACATAATCGAGAGTTTTCCATCACGCTTTGATCGGGAGGAAGCCGACAGAATTGAACCCACTTTTTATCTGACGACGCTGTCTTTGGAAAACCAAAAGAAACTGACATTTTGCAACGTTTTATTCGCTGTAAAAATACACCGGAAGAAGGTGTGCATTTTCAAATAATCACTAAAAAGTTTAAAAAGAATTAGTTTTACCGTGAGGCCGAAGCAGACGACATTAACTCAAATTAAAAGTCACTCGAAGAAGTAAACACAAAATTGCAGGTTGCCAAACCCTGCAGACAAAATAACTTAGTTGGCCGTGCAAGTAGATTTACTTCTATTCTCTCCACGCGTCTCTTATTAAACATCGTCTCTGGATTGTCAAATGTTCTAGATGAAACCATAATGTTTTTGTTCTATCCCTTTCACTCTAGTGAAAACTGAAATGCATAACAAAAGTTAAAGGTTGTGTTCTAAGCACAACCGCATTATTGACGAAGGACTACGAGATTGTTTTTGGTGCTCAATTGAGTATGAATTCATCTTTTTTTCTTTTTAATTTATTTATTTCTAAAATCAACAATCATTCAATTTCAAAAATTCAATATACAAATTTATGAAATTGGGTGAATATCAGTATCCTTCACGAAAAGAATTATTCACATTGAATGTATTAAGCAAACCACATAGATTTTTACCATTGTCATCCACTTATGAAAAGTATAAGGTTACTTATCCTCAAAAATATGTACAAGTCTTATGGATACAATGAATCGTGCTTAAATGAAAAGTATAAGGCTGGTTAATACTTTTTATGAACTTTGAAGCATAATAGTCATTGTTTTCGATATAGTATTGTTTATTCATTTGTTTGATTAGGCTCAAACGAATAAGCTCTCTGTAAAGCCGAGTATTCTTGGTCACTATACAATACATCTTAAAACTATAGTCAAAAGGTACAACACAATAAACAACAAACAATCTTCCGCTATTCAAAAAGCCTCTTCCATCAGAACTGGAGCTGCTTCCAGTGGTTTCATTGTAAGGCAGTTACGCCAACAGGAGTCAGAGCGCTTCCATTGCAGCAATGGACGCAAAACGTGGTCAGCAACACACACAATCATCACTAAACGGTAGCATTCCAAAGTTGACGACACTTCGACCGAAAAAACTGCTGATGAAGAACAATGAGGAGGACCACACAATAATGGTTGCTGCCGAGAAAACAGGCGATCTCGTGGCACACATCGAGTGTGGCCTGCTTTTGTCGATAGCCGAGTGAACACTGCTCGATATAGTATATAGTATAAAGGGACCTCATCACTTTTCAATGTTGTTTACTTTTTTATATCATTAGAAAAAAACCAAAAAAAAAAAAAGGGAATTGGTGTGAATAGATTTCTTTTTATTAATAATAATATATATGAGTATGAGGACTTCATGCATCATCTCGTGCATCGTGCATACTGGAACCCGAATTATTTACAGCACCGGGCTTCCGAGCATGGATCTGGGAAGTATAGTGTGCAACTGAAGATGAATTTCTCACTGCTTTATGATTGGGAACCGAAATTATCCTCATGCCGTTGATCCTTCTGCATACCGAGAGCACCTGCCGTACCGAGTATCTCTGCGTTGATGATTTAAAATCTATTCATGGAATGATGATTATTATACAAGCTGTAAATTTTTTACTCACGTAGCTGACATTCTTTTCCCATTCAGTCAAAAACAACTGTCATTTTTCAAAGCAGTGCTATGTAGAAAGTATAAGTGAATATTTATAGTTTTTGGTCATAACACATGATTAATACTTTTCAATAAAATATCTCTTGGTTACTATGTGTGCCTTCATGAATTTAATGTGAGTGAAATAATGAATAACACTTAGTATAACATAATGAGAAATATAAGTCTATTCATATGAACAAAATAATTGATTTTCTTTGAGTGTTGATTGAAGATTCAATTTTCAAATTCAAAATTTAGTTCCTATCCCATTCAAAATTAGGATCCAAATATGTACAATCAACCTTCTTAAACTAAATAACGTTTATTTTACAGTAAGTGGAGTGGTATTTGGCTAATTAAAATACATTTAATTATAATTCATTTAATTAAAAAAAAGAAACTGACCAAAAACACTTCTAAGGCTGTGTCCATTTGGTGAATTTTAACTTAAATTTGACAGATGGAAAATTTTCAAATAAACCTGCTATTCCAGAGGACTTATTTCTGACAGACAAGGAATCAACTTTGACCGACGCTCTCTCGAAAATCGGCCGAGGGACACAGAGGGATTTTCGAACATCTTAATTTATTTTCGAAGTGTCAAATTTAAGTGAAAATTTTTCAAATGGAACACAGCCTAAGCATAGAGGTAACTCTAAGACCACTGGGTCCCGAAGAAAATCATTATTATTTTTGGCTCACTCAGTACCAGAACAACGGTCCCAAGCAGTCCCAAGCTATTTCACTCACCCCTGCATGTTCTGCATGAATCCACACACCCCTGATGTTATCTGTCAAACTTTCATAGCGAATCAAAACAAACATAGTGTAGTAATAGAATTTCAACTAGAATAGGGTACGTTAATCGTTTGCTTGGGACCAATAGGCTACTAAAGTGGTGAGCCAATTTAAAATCGTTAGTTTCGTATTGATTGTTGGCCTAAGTGCGTCTGACACCATATTAGATTTTGACGTTGAGCAGAAAGATGACAGATAAACAGAATCTCATTTGATTTTGTCTTTTTATTGTTTTTAATTTAAAATCTATCAAAACGCGAACGCTGTAATTCAATAAATTGTAAGTAAATTGAATTGATTCATAGTAACATATTTTAAACTCGCAACATAACTTATCGATTCCAGTTTACACAAGGCATAGTGCTACATTTAAATTTGGAAACATTATACTGCTATTTTGATAACTATTATTTCATTCTTCGTTCGACTTTCTTTCGCTGACGTATGCCATGAATGTTGAATCAATCAATAAGTTACAAGTATTGGCTTGTTACAGTCCCAAAACGGCATATGAAATGAAAGTTTAAGGCAAATTCAAAGTTCCAGAAGAATGCAAAGAGCTACTCAAAATGTCAACTTAAAGAATCATTATTTCAAAGGCACACTCACGTCCCTGGTGACTGAATTCTGAACCCAATAGGTCTTGTCCATCCGAACAACTGGGCCAAAGACAGCAAGTCACTTGGTATACTAGCGCTACCTGTGAGGAGATTCTCAACCAAACTATCCTCATAGGTATTATACATCTGAATAACTTTACAAAAACAGCAACCTTCTATCTAGTACAGCTGAACTGTCAAGATTTAGCATGTAATTAGACTTACAAACGTACTGCCTGGTGCGAGAGTCTGTCATGTTAAATAAGATATCAAAATGCACACTAGCGTCATCTGTGTGGTATCCGAATTGGATAGTTTCGAAAAACTTCTCTAGTTCACTGAGTATAAATTATATTTATTTTGAGTAATTAAAATGTAGTGTGTAGAGCAGTAGAAAAGCGTAGCTCTGTAACAACAAAAAGAAAGATATACATAAACTAAAGAGCCTGAATTTATAAAGAGGCGACATCTTATACATTTGACAGGTCTTCTGCTCGATTGGAATGACTTTTCCTATGATTTTGACAGACAATCGATTGTTCCAATTTTGACATGTCGTCTCTTTATAAATCCAGGCTCTTTAACATAAACAACAGCTGAAGCTGGGCTTCAGTCTACTTTGAAACATTAACTAGAAAACGTTCTCTTTAATTCAAATCATCACGGTTTCTCAACGAATTCACTTTGCCCTTATTAGTTGGACACTACAATCTGGTGAGTGTAGGCTGTACATCATCAAATAGGTCTTACTCATCCAAACAATTTTGTCCAAGACTGCTAACTTTTAGTTCGGCGAGGCAATTAGAAGTTAAATGGCCCTCTATCGTCACCAAGCACTGCTACCAACACTGCTACCATAGAGGTAACTCTAAGACAAGTAGGTCCCGAAGAAACGTGCTCAACTTTTTGGCTCACCTCTGGTACTATCTTCGGTCCCAAGCTAGTCGAATCACCCGTTGAAACATAGGAAAATCCAATAACCCCTCATTTTATCTGTCAAACTTTCATAGCGAATCAAAACAAACATTGTGTAGTACTAGAATTT